AGGTAGGTAGACGGTAACCTATAGAGCAAGAAACAGCCAGATGATGAAGATAGTGTGAAATAAATGTATGGGGGAGTGGTCCACACGTCAGCACATATATCCTCTAATGGACAACAGAATCAGGCAGCCAGGGACACAGTAAGGTGACAAATTTGATGGAAGGAGACTTGAAATAGACAATAATCATTGAAAGTCAGGGAAGAATAAGCTGGCAAATATAACTTATAAGGGCAATAGAATAAATATCATGGGAAAGGGAAGGATTCCAATGAATGAACAAACAAGAACAGGAGTCACAGAAGGGAGCAGTGCAAGCCACGTAAGAACAATGAGAAATGGCAATGAAAGCAAAATCACCCTCACATGCAATGTCTTGGACAGAAAAGACCAATTCCAGTAGGGAATGACATGGGTCTTGTGATATAATGTGCAAGAGACATCAATAACGAACAAGTCTGAACGTCAATGTCCATTTGCCAAAAGGAAGAGGAAAAAGATCTTTATGGAGAGATGATATGAGGGACAGGATGATATGGGATTTAAGAGAGGAAGTGTAAGGGCATGGAGAACAACATTTAGGGTAGGGCAGTAGCATGTGGGAGACAGCAAAGGGAAATCTTATGAAACAGAAAGTGGCTGATAAGGCCACACAATAACCAGCAATGGTGGATACCAAAAGCCAGGTAAGGAAGGAAGTCAAGTAGGATAGGATAGGAGAGTAAGATAGGACATAGGAAAACCATGACAAAAAGAGCAACAGCAGTATACATACTACTTTACATTAGTAAACTGACATGGAAGAAAGGAATGCAAAATCAAGGAAGCAATGCAAAGAGAAAGTTCAGCCCATCTAGACAAAAGCCATGCATGAAGACACTTTTTGAAGGGAAGAATGTAGCAAGCCCAAAGTAGGTTATCTGAGAAGAGTGAGTGAGAAGGGAAGAGAAAGAGTAGGTGTGAACAGGAGTGGGTGCAGATGTGGAAAGCACGACTGTGCTGAGTAAAGGGATGCCACCAAGAGGACACACCACAGAGTGTCTTGTATGATGGAGAGGACACAATGAAGAAGACAGATAGCCATAGAGGTAAATCCCCCCTCCCAAATCCTTACTGAGGGAATTGACAGATACAGCCAAAGGATGTGGAATTGGGGACCAAAACCTGGGAAGCTCACTGGGAACACAGCCAGCTGAACACCTATGGATTGAGGCACCACTCCATGGGGAAAATCTTGTCGGAGCACAATAAACGATCCACAACCAGATTCAGGGCACCCTGTATATGACACATCAACATGCAAATGTGATGGCTGTGGGCCCAAAACAGAAGGTCAAATGTGTGAAAACAAAGAGACTTCAACCAAGTGCCCCCTTGCGAAGTGATGTACGAGACAGCCATTGAGTAGTCAGAATGAATCACAACTAACTGGTTCCAAAGAAACAGAAAGAAGTGAGTCAAAGCCCAATAGACAGTGAGCAGTTCCAAGAGATTGACATGCAGAGAAGACTAGTCAACAGACCAATGGCCTGAAATCTACTGTGTGTCCAGATACACATTCCAACCCATAAGAGAAGCATCTGTAAAAAGGTGTATTTCTGGATTAGAAGGAGTAAGAGGAACACCCACTGTGGTGTTGTCTCTGTTTAACCACCAGGCAAAGTCCACATGAATGGAAGGAGGTAGCTGGATAAGGGCATCCAAGGGGTCCTGAATGAGGTTCCACTGCTCTTGTAAAGCCAACTGAAGAGGATGTATATGAGCTTGATTGTGGGGAATGAGGACCTCCAAAAAATTCCATGTCCCCAAAAGGGATAGAACCTCTCATGCAGCTGGAGAAGGGGAAGAGGAAATGGTCCAAACCAGAAGCTCCATAGATTGCCTGTGAAGGGGAGAATGGTGGGCACAACTGAGACAGGAATTGAAGAATACCTTGAGATGAACAAGGCATAGAGTGGAGGAGAGGAAGGACTTCTTCATCTTGACCAGCCAACCTATCCATGCAGTCTCTTCAAGTAGAAGCTGAACATGAAGGGAAAAGATGGCATGCAAAGGAGCTAAAAGCAGCCAGTCATCCAAATGATGGTGGAAATGAAAGCCCCTGGAACAGAGAAGAAAGGCAAAGGCCTTGAAACCCAACAATAAACCTAGGGAGCCACAGTTAGACCAAACAGAGGAGCCCAAAAGTAGTAAACAGAACCCCGATGGACAAAACTAAGAAAATGTCAGGATGCTGGGGGTTGGGAATATGGACGTAAGGATCCAAGACATCTACCTTCGTCATTCAAAGACCAGGTGTTAAAGCCCATCAAAGAGGAGGCAGGACTCCATGGTGAATTGAAAAAGATTGAGGAAGCAGTTCAAGGAAGAAAGATTGATGATGGGGTGCCAGTCCTTGGCCTTCTTGGGGACTATGGACAAATGGGAATAGAAATCTGGCAGAGAAGGATCTACCTATTCTACAACACCCTTGTGAAGATCTAGAACTGCCTCGGAAAGATTCTGGCTGGAAATAGGGTCCCATGGAGAGGGGATAGGGGAGGAGGGAAAATGAAATGAAGAATGAGCCCTTCAGAAAGAACCCACAGGACCCAAGTGTCTGTGGTAAAGGATTACCAAATGGTGGCAAAGTGCAAAAGCCTGACCAACATTGACCTATACCCACAACGTAGTCACTAGGACCACCAGGGCACTGAATCCATTGACAAATAAACTGACAGCTAACCTCGGAGACTCATGTAGCAGGCACTGGTAAAGGAGAGGAAGGAGAGGGATGAGACATGGGAATAGGTTCAGGAGGAGGTTGAGACAAATGGGAAGACAATGAGGAAAGAGAGATATTTAAATGTGCAGACTCAACACTGGTCTCCAACAAGTCAGGAAGATCCCCAAGACATTTTGCCTTAGAAAGGGAGACATTTACCCCAACTCTCGTAAGGAGGTTGGGGGTAAATGCATGAGGGACAAAAGGGCACTGCAATCCGAAAGATTACAACAACA